CCTGGGCTCCAGGACAGATACCACAAATTCCTTCATTGTTATGTTAATTGTTCCTACACCCACCTAAGTATGTGTCTATCATTTTACTTTTTATCCAATCCCAGGGGTTTCCCTGCTTTGCTTTCTCCCGCCTCTCTAGTCTATCACCAATGGATTTCATGTAACCCACCTATGCCCCTTTCCTTTGATTGCAATGTATAAATACAGATGTAACCCGCCATTCTCTGGAGCATTATCTCAATTCATTGAGGTTCTGCTTCCTGGTATATGTTGACAGTTTGGCTCGAATAAACTCACAAAAATTCTTTACAGGTTTCAATGGGTGTTTTTCTTTCGTTAACCACAGATTGATCGGTGCCTGGGCAAGGGTCATTAGTTATCACAGCTGGTCCTGATGTCAGCCTGGCCTTGTTGCTTTTCTGGGCCTGGAGCTGAAACAACTCAGGCCTAGATCTTATCTCTAGGGCTTACAATGCTTAACGGAGTGGTTGTGCAAGGGCTTGTATGAGGTTATTCTCTGACCGCCTTGTTGCTCCCTTAAGGGGGTATAAACCACATGAATAATGATATGCCAGCGGATGAAAGGTCAGGGGAGGGTCCAAACCCCATGACTAGTGATATAAAAGGTCAGGGGTCTAAACCGCATGATCACCCATATGCTAGGGGCTGAAAGGTTACCCTGGGGGTGAGGTCCCACCCTACAGTTTTCCATTGCTAGGCACGCAGGGCTTTCTGCCCTGGTGACCTTCTGTACCTGGCCTATGGTTCAGGCTCTGCTTATGCCTGCCTATCTGCCTACTCCAACTTCAGCTCTCTGTGCTTCATAGTGTTACCAGAAAGGGGGCCTGGCCACTGGTGGGTCTGCCTAAGGCTGGCCGATAGTGTGTGAATTCTTGACTTCCTGCAGGAAAAATTTCACAACATGAGTTCGGGTGAATTTTAGAGTATGTTTATTAAAGCTAGGGACAGTGAAGCAAGGAAGCGCCTAGGACAGTGGTCGGCAAACCGCGGCTCGCGAGCCACATGCGGCTCTTTGGCCCCTTGAGTGTGGCTCTTCCACAAAATACCACGTG